TGCGCCTTTGCCACATTATACAACATAATTGCGATGTGGCCCTTAGGCCTTGCTTTCTTGCTTACGTCGTTATGTGTATTTAAGAACATTGCTCTTGTGATCATTGTATTTAATTGCGTAGCAGGAGCACAAGGGTCTCTCACCTCCGATTAGATTATATAATATTTCAATAAACATTACTTACTTTATCAATGCGTGGAATAGGTCACTTTTGAGTTCCGAAAAGCCCCAAACTCAAAACGAGGCTAAGTGTAAAACTTTCTTGTGATAATGATTTTTATTTGCATGATAATAAAAAAATTGTCATATCAATGGCTTCTCACTATGCCTCGCCTTTAAACAGAGGCTTGATGCAGCCCGGAAATGGCCAGTAGTTTTCCTCGGTGGCCATTTTGAATTTTTCGGTCAGCTGGTACGGGGCAGGAACCCAGAAATATTTGGGGTCTGGGAATGGGTATGAGACAGTCTGGAAAATCTCGGAAGATCCGATCGCTTGCGGAGTATTATAAAGTCTTATAATAAGAGACACAAGCAGCTCCGAAGATTTCTCGGTTCCAGACCTTCCAGAATTTTCTTGGAGTTGTAAGAGTTCTCCATCTCATGCGAAAGTTTCACGTCGTGGTCGTACAGGGAGAGTAAAAATGTACCTAAAAGATTGATGCACTAGCCTTTGAGCAAGCTCTCCCTGGGTTCCCGGGAATATGGGGGTGGGGGAGGGAAGAAGGGCCCCGCCGCCAGAGCGCCTCGGTGATTTTGTTTACAAGCTAGTGATGCAAAGTTGTTGATTTTCCTATTGTTGAATCGCAACGATGACTAACACTTTTCTTTTTCTTTGTGCAATGCTTGTGACGTACCGACTATTGCGCATCTTTTTAATTGACGTCTTACTTTTAATCTTGTTTAGGCTCTGTCAGATGAAGTCACCATGTCCATAGGACAAGCTTTTGAGGTAATTACCATGCACAACTATATATCTCACTGGGCCAACACCGTTGTTATGACATCCCAACAAGCTGTCAGTGAGATGTTTTACATCCATGGCAGCAGAAAAGAACACTCACTTTTGGTCTAAGGCGACTTTCTTAAGGTCGAAGGGAGAAATTTCGAGGGTGCGTGCGCGCACGAGGGAGCGTGTTCCCCTCGCGCGATCTATAAATACCAGTAAAACCAACCAGCGCTTGCCACAAAGGCATACTTGTTCTATGCGAGACTCCCTGCGCCCAGACGTTGGCAGACCTTATTAACTTTTTATACCCTTGAGTTCACAGGCAAAAAATGTAATGAAAGTCCTAGATTCCATTGAATAACATGTTGAAAAAGAAATAGTAACCTGCGAAGGCGCTACAGAAGAGGTCATTGAAATGGTCATTTCATAGGATTTCATCACATTTGTGAAATTTTAAATTGTCGTTAAGTCTTTCCCTTACGCATCAGGGGGCTCAAATTTTCCTTGATGGAAGAGGTTGAGACTAAAGAATTTTTTAATCTTTCGTGATATTTGCAATCGGGAAAGTTTTGTTAGCAAACTGAACATGGCTTTACCTGAAATTCTACCAGTAGCCAAGTACTCTACGCCCTTGTCAGCGGGGTTTTTTTTACTTGTTATGTTTAATCAGAAGCATATAACCTGATCATTGGGTTCCCTGTGTCCGACTTCCTTTTGTTAGCTGCTTTAACAAATACCTTTGGAAATTGTAGTGCAAAGGTGCGAGTTACAATTTTCTGTTGTTTTTATTGCAGCTGGCCTTCAGTCAATTCCGACAGGCTCTAAATCGCCGCTCCGATCAGTAAACCAAACATATTATCTTAAGATCAAAAGTTGTTTAACACTTACATTCCGGGAGGAAGAAGTCGTAACGGTTGCTTAAAACCTCTCAAAGGAAGGTATTAAGTTATTGAAGAGTGATCAAAGATTCACTGCAATAGCTATTATAATTAAGGTCAAATCTCCTTCAGTTTGTCTCGATGGAGATCTCGACCACAATAAACAAACGGCAATGTAGTGAGGGTAGATAAGTGTTAGCTACCAACTATACGGTATAAAAAGGCTGGTTAATCGGCTTACCTTAAGCCTTAGGCTTTTGTGACTGCCGAATATTGGCGTCGTGGCTTGATGTTGCAAAGACTTGTAAAAGCCAGGATCAAAGTAATCACATTAATAATGAAGAACTGGCAACCCAGCAAACCAATCAAAATTCAAAGTAAAAAAGCAACCGTCGCCAGTGCAAGGGCGGGAAAATTGTATTAAGTGCCAAGCGCGAGAAAAATCAACCCAGCGAACCAATCCAAATTCAAAGTAAACAAGCAGCTGCGCCCAGTGTAAGGGAAAGAAAAATTGAAAGAACAACCTAGAGAACCAATCAGAAAGAAGTTACCAAAGAAACAAGTAACCTCGCCCAGTGCAAAGACGGGAAAAATTGTCTCGGGCGCGAGGAAAAGTTTGTCACGGGTTTGGGTTTTTCGCTCAGGAGTGAATGATGATTAGAAACCTTGTTTCTGTCCATGTAAATGCTTATCAAACCATTGCGAATCGCCAAGAAAAAAAACGTTTAAGTTTGAATGAGGCGTCTTCTTTTGTATCAAACCATGATTTTAAAAATAATTAATTTGTAAAAGACGATTTGTCTGGTGTGCCTTCAAAAATAATATTTTCGCCCACAAAGCAGAGTATTTTTTTATCAGTATATTTTTTAGAATACAAATTATCGAATCAAATTTGGAAATATATTTTTTAGAGAATTTAGCGGGCCAAGTTCTATGACCTTAACCAACAACAGTGTTTCTATCGCTGGAAATTTTTTCACTTGTGATCAAGCAGATATTTTGATGGGAGCAATAGTGAGGTAGAACAGGAACATTAATAATTGAATATATTTGTACAAAGTTAAATAAAGATGGTTTTAAATATACTACTTTCCTAAAAATGTCCTTAGACTGGCTTTTCTCCTGTTGTAAAACGTAAGCAGTTCTTGCACGTTATCGGCTGGGGAGTTCATAAAATAAAGGGGAGTTCATGTGAGATTGCAGTGCGCATGCGTACTTCAGTACAGTAAGCTTGTTCGTACTTTATGATTGCGGGGTTTTTTTGCTTGAAAATCTGAACTTTTCTCCCGTTATGGTTAGTAGCAATTACAAAGTGTCCCTTCTTCGTAGAAGCAACTTACTGTTTCCTTTTTTTCTGAAAAAAACGATATTGTCGCTGTGAAAATCGCAGATTCTGACAGGGAAAGCTGACCTCGTGCTTGTGTCAGCTTTGAATACAACCTGAATGAAAACGACAACGCAAAAAGACAAAGACCTGAAAGGTCCCACTAACAATTCTAGTACAGCGAGTGCGGTATGCTGACAAGGAAGACACTCATCGCAAGAATTGTAGCAATTAAAACAAACTAGTTAATGTTAAACAGTTAAACATCAGGCCGCACTATCTTCGATGACGCTAGCGTAAAATACTTGGTAGCCTGCGTAGCAGGCGCAAAAAGGGGAGGGGGAGGGGAAGGGGAAGGGGAAGGAGAAAGCGCCTCTCCCCAATCCCCCTCCCTTTTTCGCTTCCTCCCTATCCCCTACCCATTTCGAAGCCTGTTACGCAGGCTGATACTGGGAGACAGTGGTTACCACCCCATCTTTTTCTCAGTGCGCGCAAGTTAGGGGGTCCCCAATAAGGCTCTCGTAGTCCCGATGGGTATTTCCCGCATCCCGAGCATGCGTTCAATCCCAAATCTCGCCCCCATTTTGCTTTAAAATCTCGAATCTGGGCTTCAAATAAAAGTAATCCCGTAGTCCGAAAAAACCTATTGGGACCCATTGCATGATGGAGGAAATGAGCAAGGCATTTGCAGTGTGCTCAGAATGAGTCTGACAACTACGGCAGTGTTGGCTCGGTTGAAAGAGTGCTCGTCGGCAGAGCGGGAGGTCGCGGGTGTTCTCCCCGGGGCCGGAACAAATACTCCTGGTCTTAAAGTAATTCAGAGAAAAGACACTGCCAACTAAACGTTCTCGTGGTTCGGATAGTCACGTAGAAATGGCTGTCCAGTCTCCACTAGGGGGGCCTAAGAAAAATGCCCTCCGTGGGTACTTCGTGCTAACACAGTGGCACGTTTTGACATAGCAAGGTCTTTTTAAACTTAACAGGATCTGGAAGGGTTTTCCTGGAATCCGGGATTTGACCAAAATACAGTGCGGGATTCCGGAAACGTTAACGGGATACGGGATTCGACAGCTCAAGGAAGCGGGATTCACCAAAATTTGGGCACGGGATGGGGGATTGGGAAAGAAACGATATTTGGGATAGCAATGACAGAAGTTCGGATTGCGGGATTCTCTTGCAAAATGAGCGCGAATGCGGTATCAGGATCCCTCTTTCCAGACCCTAGCGTAAAAGTTTCAGGGAAACTGCCCACCTACCCCTACCCATAAGCCAACATTTTGTCCTAAGTGAGAAGTAAGTGTTAATATTAGCTTAGGGGAGGGGTAGGTGGGCAGTTTCCCAGAAACGTATAATGATCCACAGGTCGCCTCCCACGTAGGTGTTTTTAGGGTTTTTACAACTCACCAAACAAAGCGACCTTTGTGGAAGGCTACGTAATAGGTCGTTAGGGGTCTTTTTGTTCAACAATTGCATCTAGCGGAGTGTTCCATTCCTAGAACAGTAACTCCCAGTATATCAAAAAGATTTAAAACTCCAAATTCATCTTTTTTACTATATACTTTGTTTATTCTTCTGAAGCAGTACTTGCTGCTATAACTACTCGTAATATCAAAGCGTTTGCACTTTAAAAAAAAAACATGTTCTAATATATTCTTAAAAGGTCAAGGTAATTACTTGCACATAATGTTAGAGTCGGGCTTCAAAATCTACCCTCAAATAACCATAGAGTCGTAGAGGGTTTACTTGAGCAGAGCCAAAAGGATATTTATGAAAGCTAATATTTTTACCCTAAAAAAACTACCGTTCAAGAAATGCGGATCGTAACTGAAAATTGTTTCTAACTTGTATTCCCTCAAGTCGATGTAGAACAGCAATTTCGATCAGGCGATTCGTTTGAGTTCCTTAGCTTGCCAGTTAACCAGCTATGACACTCTATATCTTCAATAGTTATTCTTGCCCGAAAATCTAATATCAACATGCTCCGTATAAGATCCTTGCAGTCTTCTGAAATTTGTTGTTTTGATTTCTGGAAGGTAACCCCTCTTTTGATGTGCTGTAGTAAGACTTTCGTGTCAGAATCATCAAAAGGCATCCGGCCCGTGACCATAGTATAAAGGACCACGCCCATACTCCACACATCTGCTTTTTCACCATCGTAAGGTATTCCTTTGAAAATGAAAATAAGATACTAGTAATTACCAAGGGTTAAGGAGTGCGGGCGAGTTTCAGACGCAGGTTTTTCAGACACAGGTTTCTTGGTCAAGAAAAAAAGTTGCATTTATGATATTTTCGCACTATCAGAAAGCTTACATCGCAAAAGTTGTTCGTTGAATCATTCAGTCTGCAGTGCGTTAGAAACGAGAGAAGAAAGGATGGATATTTAAAAGCGCGCAACAAATCTGTCAACTTGGTTTTAATTGCAGAAATTGTTTGCAAAAAGACGCAACAGATAAAAATGAGGAAAGGGAAAACAGAACTATACATTTCCAGTATATTTGAATTTAAATTTGGTCTACGGAAAAAAGGATACCACTCAATCCCCCTCGGATCCCGCCTATTTCCGACGTGGGGGGTTACACAACAAAGTTTATACAGGGAGGCTCCGCTCTGAGGTCCGACATTTTACACTTTTACATACGATTTATGACAAGAAAGGTATCCCTTTTCGCCCACCTTCTATTCACAAATAGTACCCCTTTCACATACCTAGTTTAGACATATGCATCCCTTTTAACTGCTGTAAACGCATAAATCACAAACCAGAATTTTCACGCAGCCATAAAATGCATATATTATGTTAGCTTTTTGGGGGTCTTTTTACAACTTACAGACCAACCTACCAACCTACATTTTTCGTACATAAACTAGTGAAATCCCAACACTTTCATATACCTAAGCTTGAAAAAGGTACCCCTGTCGGGCTGAGCATTCCCGTATAGACTGGGTCTAGGATCCTCTTCGGAATTGTGTAGGGTGCGATGAAGGAGGAAATGCGTTCCAGCCATTATTAAAAGCGTACATCTTGAGCACGAATTACTTTGGCATTATGATTGTTGGCTCTTCAATTTCGTGCTGATTTATGCATCATAGAACGTACTCTACTCCCTCTTAGGGCCTGTTTACATGAAGNTTTGGGGGTCTTTTTACAACTTACAGACCAACCTACCAACCTACATTTTTCGTACATAAACTAGTGAAATCCCAACACTTTCAAATACCTACGCTTGAAAAAGGTACCCCTGTCGGGCTGAGCATTCCTGTATAGGCTGGGTCTAGGATCCTCTTCGGAATTGTGTAGGGTGCGATGAAGGAGGAAATGCGTTCCAGCCATTATTAAAAGCGTACATCTTGAGCACGAATTACTTTGGCATTATGATTGTTGGCTCTTCAATTTCGTGCTGATTTATGCATCATAGAACGTACTCTACTCCCTCTTAGGGCCTGTTTACATGAAGTTGGGGTACCCCAGATAGGTAAGGTAACCCACTCCATTGGGGTAGAAATTAACCTGCGTTTACAGCCAATTTTACCTCCCCGCCATCCCGGACAGCACAGTCTCAAATTTGCTCAATTATTGTCACAGAAAAATGAAAGCATAAAAAAATGGCACGCAAACGGCTTGTTTAGATAGATGGATAGACAGGTAGTGTTTTAGTGGTTAATGCTCTCGTGCTGCAACAGGGTAGTATATTCTCTTTTTCTAATGCATTTCCTTATAACTGTTCTCTGCGCGGGTACGAACACAAATACACTGATTAACCTGACTAACTTGATCAAGTCTATAGAAGGATTTCTACGGAGTCATCCGAGCATAACATTCCTTATATTTCACCACTAATTGGCACTATGACAGCATTCTGATTTTTGGCAAATGGACGTTTTTCAACTTGGTCTTTTTCTGGTTAGCCCATCCAGATCAATATTTTCTTTAATTTAGTTTTTGTGACGTCATCACTTTTCTACCCTTTATAAAGTGTACCGTATCGAAATATCTTCAAAACTTCTTCGCAAATAAAAGATATGCTGTCCACTATTTTAGGAAAATTATCGGAAACGTCCGTACAGTTTAACCAGAATTAAATGAAAAGGAATTAGACTTTAAAACTAATTTGTTATCAGACCTTTATATATCCATTTGTGTCCAATAAAGTGTTTCGTCGAGGAGGCTACGTTTGTAATAATAATAATAATAATAATAATAATAATAATTCATGAGAATGATCAGCTGCGCATTACAACTGCATTACTTTTCAAGAGACAAATAAAAGATAATGCATTTAAAAATAAAAAATAAAAAGAATATATATGCATGCAAGTAAGAAATGAATATAAAATTTATCACCAATATACAATTCTAAAAAGATAAGTCTTAATATGTGCCTTAAAACTGTTCACATTGGTAATCGCTCGAAGTTCTTTTGGAAGAGAATTCCAGGGCGTTGGCGCTGCTGCCATAAAAGCTTTATCACCTAAGGTAGTCTTTGATCGAACAGCTGGCATAAAAAGTAAAATACTACCTGAAGATGTATGGTTATATAAAGACGATTTAAATGTTAGTAACTCGCATAGATATTTAGGAGCAAGGCCTTGAATTGCGTTGAACGTAATAAGCACTATCTTAAATTGTATCCGGACTTTAACAGGAAGCCAATGCAGACCACAAAGAAGGAGTGAGATGTGGCAAAACCTAGGCGCATTACAAACTAGCCTGGCTGAATGAGGCGTTTAAAACTCTCTGCAATTTGTTAAGCTATTAGTTGGGCAGCCCATACAAAAGACTGTTGCAATAATAAACAAGAGATGTAATAAATGCATGGACAAGCATTTCCGTTGATTCTCGGATTCTTGTAGGTATTTGGCTGGAAAATACCCATTACTCACCCGTTCATTTGATTTAAGCAGTCTAATGTAAAAAGACATATTACCTTTAAGTATCTCATACGCCGCGTACGCTGCTGAGCCACAAAATGTCTTGCAAAGATCAGATTTGTTATAATATTTAGCAAAGCCAAAGTCTGTTATTCTCACGTTGTTTCCTTCATCCAAAAGAATGTTTTCACATTTTAAATCACGATGCAACACTCCATTTTTGTGGCAATGTTTTACAGCTTGTAACAACTGCTTGAATATCTTTTTGC